GATTTTCTCAATATTTAGATTTTTTTGCACCCTCAGATTCCAGATTTTCAAATAGTTGTATCTCGGACAAATATTGTCTTATCATAACAAACCATACATCAATGGAAAGCTTATTTATTAATCTTTCAGATGATGTATAAATCTCAATTTCGAAAAATTGAAAAATTGGTTTTGTGGTCCAGGGTCACATATGTATTAGTACTAAGTATACACTAACCGTCAAAAGAGACACGTGACTGAGTTTGTTTCTTGTTGATCTTAAACTAAAGGTTTTTGCTTAAATACTTGAAAACTAATTTTGAAGACAAACATAACTGTGAAACTTGTGTACAAAATCACATTTGTTTTACAAAAAAAATAAAAAATGATATAGATCAGCTGGATCGAATGGTGAAGGAAAACAGCTTCTGTGACCCGCAGCTCTGGTTTCAGTATTTTTATGATTCATTTTCTCCACAAGCATATTTTTTAAAAATCTTTCAAAAGCTCCAAACCATGAACCAAATCAAACAGCTTCACATCACAACATTTATCTGAAGCAAAACGTTTTTCAGAACAGACAATCGGTAAAAATGTTCTCTTCTGCTCACCAAGGCTGCACTTATTTGACCAAAACACAGTAAAATCAGTAATAATGTGAAATATTTTTACAATTTAAAATAAATGTTTTCTATTTGAAAATATTGTAAAATGTAATTTATTCCTGTGATGCGCAGCTGAATTTTCAGCATCATTACTCCAGACTTCAGTGTCACATGATCTTCAGAAATCATTCTAATATGCTGATTTGCTGCTCAAGAAACCTTTCTGATTATTATCAATGTTGAAAACAGTTGTGCTGCTTTATATTTTTGTGATTTTCAGGATTCTCCAATGAATAGAAAATTCAAAAGACCAGCATTTAATTGAAATAGAAATATTTTGTAACATCATGTCTTTACTGTCATTTTAATAAATTTAATGCATCCTTGCAGAATAAAAGCATTTAATTTTTTGAAAAAAAAACTGATGACAAACGTTCATCTTGACAAAACTTAATTATCATGTTAATGTAACCTAAATAGCCTCAAACATGTCCCCACAACCCAACTTGACATATATCATCATAACCGAGGTGCAGTATCTTGCTGTAGTACTTGAGTATTTTAGTAGTACTTAGATTTTTTTACATTTGCCTTTTTAAACTCTTTGACTCATAGATTCTACTAAAGAAGCTGTGCATTACAGTAATTGAAATTCACTGTAAAATGACAAATTCACTGTAATCTTGAGTGACTTCTAGCTTTTATAAAACTGCAGCAACAACAATATGATAAAAGGTACCTATGGTACTTCCGTTCTGTTGTCCTGCATGTGTTTGAATAAGACCTGATCCTGCTGAATTCAGAAAAGCCTCAGTGCAGGCGCTCTGAGAAGCTGCTCACCGATATTATGCGCGTCTAGCTGTGAAGCAGAGTTGACGGCCACCTTACAGAGGGAGCAGTAGAGCAGACGCAGCGCTTTCTCATCCTCCGTCTCTGGACTGACTGCGGGGTCATTCTCTTCTGGTTCAGGCGGGTTGGGCGTGATGGAGCGGCCGTCCTCTCCTCCTGATACTGAGGTAGACTCTGGCTCTGTGGGCTCCACGCCGGGGCCAGACACTGGGGCAGAAGAGGGTGATGAAGGGGCCACAGGCGCTCCATGACTCCCACCTGTAAAAGACAAATAACCTGTTACTGGTAAGTGTCAAAATAATAGCTTGCTTAAATAATAATAATAATAATAATAATAATAATAGCTTTACTGCTTTTATTGCAAGTCTTTTGATTTGAACTCAAGTGTTTCATAATGTGAAGCTGTTCTTGCACTGATGCCAGACTCATCATTCATATATTATGAATCATTGTTTTGTTTCCATTTATCAAGGTCCAAATATAAAGAGAAAATAATTGAAATTAAGTACCTTTCATTTTTAAAGTACTTAATTTAATGGATTATACAAAAAGTTTCATATTATACAAACATTTCCAGCATAAATAACCACACACACACACACACACACACAACTAATAACAAATAATTATTAGTTAATAAATGTTAATTAATAAAATATGAAAATAATAATTTAATACAACGTAAAAATAAAGCTAAAATAAAAATTGAAAAGCAAACAAATAAATAAATACATCCAGATTCATCATTTATTAGGAATAACCATTTCGTTTGTATCTATAAAGTTCTAAATATGAAGAGAAAATTATTATAAATAAGAAAATTATTTATTAGACTATACAAAGAAAAACATAACTAACAAACTAAATGGCAATACAAAATGTAAATTTAATTAAACAATTATAATAATTTAATAAATTGCAAAAATTTAAATACAATATTATATTAATAATTTGAAACACAAACAAGCAAATAAATAAATAGAGACTCGTTATTCATTAATTATAAATCATCATTCATCAAGTTTCAAATAAATTGAAAAAAGAAAATGATTGAAAAGTACCTTTTCATTTTTAAAGTATTTAATTTGCTGGACTATGCAATCAAATTAATTAAAAATCATTTAAAATATATAATAACTTAATAAAATGTAAAAATTAAATTATTACAAGTTAAATAAAATGTAACTAAATAAATATTTAATAAACACATGCATATTTTTCTAACTGAAGCATTGTATTGAGGCACAAATACAGGTCAGATTTTTCTAATTATAAACACATTATACTATCCACTGGATGGATGAGTATTGGATTGTGTTTTGGATGAATAAATATGCAGCAAGCGCACATAAACACAAACCCTGATGTCACTGATGACTTGTCAACCTCTAAAAACTCCTTCGGTGCCATTGTCAATAATACATGAGTACTTTATTCCATCAAATGGCACTCTTCAGTTCTGACTGCGAGTTTTTCCCCCAGTGTTGGACTTGCTTTGATTTGAAGACTTCCTTTATTTGTGCTGGAAAATAACTGTGTCAAATATCGAGATCGATGGCGCCACACGCCAGTATTACCTAATGCAGTTGACACTGAAATTAATTGCATGGAATAAGATAAACTGCCGCTGAATTTCCCCAGATGAGGTCTGGTTCTGGCAGGACGCTTAAATATCGAGATCGATGGCGCCACACGCCAGTATTACCTAATGCAGTCGACACTGAAATTAATTGCACGGAATAAGATAAACTGCCGCTGAATTTCCCCAGATGAGGTCTGGTTCCCTTTCAGTCGGTCACTCTCGACGTCACGTCGGATGACCGACGAAATTGGGATCTCGCTTAGAGGGACCAATCTAAGTAGAGTCTTTTATTTATCCCAGAGCTCCTCTTCGGATCATCTGTATAAAAAAAGAGGCATGGATGCTACCGAACATCTCGCTCAAACTAAAACCAACTAGCTAACCTTAGGGCTGCAACAAACCATTATTTTGAAAATCGATTAATCTGATGATTATTAGAACGATTAATCGACAAATCATCGATTATTTCACTCATCAATCAGTAGGCTTTGATTGATTATTCAGCTTTTGCAATTTGTTAAAATTATACATTCTATACATATTCATATGCATATAGAGCTGCTTTATAGCAAAAAATCAATTTGTAATTCTAACTGAAAGCGACACTGACACTGGTTTTTCATGTCCAATACTGTAAAGATGCACCCAGACAAAATTTTGTTATTGAGAGGAAAGCTTGCAGTACATATTTACACATTCATCTACATGTCGCTCTAAGCAGAGTCAGGATGTTCGCTAACTATAAAGCGCTGCTTGCTTATATTTTATCTCTAACTGAAGAACGAAAAAAAACTTCGCCGCGAGAATATCGGGACCTTTACACATTTTTGTTTGTAGTTTTGTGAAATTTTTCCACACTCTACTGGTTTGGGTGTTTATATGTCGCATAAACCATAGACTGTATAAAAACATGGACGTAGTGTTCGTGACGTCACCCGTAGGGTTCCGAAGATAGTTTTTGAAGCTCAAAAGTGGGCGGAGGCGGCCGTCGCCATCTTGTCACCGCGCGTCACTCCCGGATAATCGAAAATGGGCAAAGAGGCGGGAGC